CATATGCTTTTGAGTTGAAAATTTTTCTCTCTTTTCCTCCCCCCCACCCTCCCCAAGACAGCGCACAATCTGATATAGGCTTTACATTTACATACCCATTAAACACATTTTCACATCAGTGAAGTTGTAAGTGAAAATTAAAACCAATACGAGGAACCATCAGAAAGATGAAACAAAACTCAACAGAAGGTAAAAATAAGTGATAGCGATTCGACTTCCATAGTTCTTTCTTTGAATGTGAACAGCATTATCCATCCTGAGGCCTCTGGAAATGTCTTAGATCCTCATAATTCTGAGAAAGGTTCAGTTTAACAATCTTAGTCATTGCATAATGTGGCTGTTATTGTGTACAAAGTCCTCTTGGTTCTGCTCACTTCACTCAGCATCAGACCATATAAGTCCTTCCAGGTTTTTCTGAAGTCAGCCTGTTCATCATTTCTTACAGCACAATAGTATTCCATTACATTTATATACCACAACTTGCTCAGCCATTCCCCAATGGATGGGCATCCTTTCAATTTCCAATTCTTTGCCACCACAAAAAGAGCTGCTATGTATATTTTTGTACATGTGGGTCCTTTTCCCATTTTTATGATCTCTTTGGGATATAGCCCTAGAAGTGCTATTACTGGATCAAAGGGTATGCACATTTTTGTAGGCCTTTGGGCATAGTTCCAAACTGTTCTCCAAAATGGTTGGATCATTTCACAACTTCACCAACAATGTATTGGTGTTCCAGTTTTCCCACATCCTCTCCAACATTTATCATTTTCCTGTTTTGTCATGTTGGCCAATCTGATAGGTGTGATGTGGTACCTCAGAGTTGTTTTGATTTGCATTTCTCTAATCAATAACGATTTAGAGCATTTTTTCATATGACTATAGATGGCTTTAATGAATTCTTCTTTTTTTAAAAAATTTTTCCTTGATCTCCCCTCATTTGATTTTTAAAGTTTTTTTTTCAGTTCTTCTATGAATTATTTTTGGGCAGATAATCATTTGACATTACTCTTTGAGGTAGGAAAGGCTTTTTTTTCTTCAATATCTTCCTCTGAAGACAAACCTTGGTCTTGTCTATTCCCATGGTAACTTTCTAGAGTTGGGTTCTTTCTCCTTTACCTGATCATTTTTTTTTATTTGTAGCAACTCACTATTGTAATCACTTCTAGCTCTGGGGTGTGGGGGATGGTGCCTCTGGCCTCAGGTCCTCAGATCCTCCTTCAGTTCTTTTCTCTGGCCTAGAACCAAAATCAAGAACTTAGCCCTCCTGTAAGTGCCCACAGCCAGTGGCATCATTGCCCCATTGCTTTCTGCACTTACTGGCATGTGTTGGTTCCTTCTTACCCAGGGCTATGTCTTAGCAGCACAGCTGGGTCTGATATCCCTTATCAGCAGGCATTTATCTGGCCTCCATTTCCCCCCCTCTAACACTGTCTGCAAGATGCCCTAGGGCTTGCCACTTGCTGTTTCAGCAGAACTACCTTGGAACTGTTTACTCTTCACTGGGAACAAACCTCATTCCTGAGATTTTTCTTCACATCTTTTCGGCTTGTCCTAGGAGCAGGAGGACCACTGCCTCAACTCTTCCTTATCCCCCCTTCATCCCCCACATTTACCCCAAGGTGCTATTTTTATCTTGTTTATGGGAAAATCTGGAGAGCTTGGAACTTTCTACCATCTTCCCGGAATCCTCTCCTGGATTCTGGTTTCTAATCCATTCTGTTGCCCTCTTCTGTTTTATGGGTGAATTCATCCTATTCACATTCCTACTTATGATTTCTACCTGTGTATTTCCCTTCATCCTATCTTTTCTATTTATCCTTTTCCTTTTTTTACTGTCTCCTTGTCAAAAGTTATCATTGCTTTTGATCACTGCCTCCCTTAATCTACCTTCCCCTCATTACTACACCCCTTTTCTCTTAACCCTTTTTCCTACTTCCCTATTGAGATGAATTTTTATACCCAACCGCATAGGTATATATGTGTAAAAAAGAAAATATGTGTATGTGTGTGTGTGTTGTGTGTGTGTGTATATATATATATATATATATATGAATGCACACACACACACACACACATACAAACTTCCATCTTTTGACCAGTTCAGAGAAGAGTGAGATTCAATTGTTGCCCATTCCTTCCTCCCCCCTATTTCCCCCTCCACTGTAAAAACTCTTCCTTGTGTCTCTCTCTGTTATGTGAGATAATTTTTCCCATTCTTCTTCTCTCTTTCCTCTTCTTCATGAATCCTTCATTTTCACCCTTCTGTTTTTCTTTTGAGATTATTCCAATATAATAGATTCATATACATGCCCTTTGTCTAAATAGATGCATTTTTGCTGCCTTAATGATAATAAAGTTCTTAGGTGTCCCATATATCATCTTCCCTTTTGTGAATATAAAAAGTTTAACCTTATTAAGTTCCTCATGATTTCTCACACATGGTTACCTTTTTATGCTTCTCTTGTATCTTATGTTTGAATGTCAAATTTTCTGTTCAGCTCTGGTCTTTTCATAAAAATACTGGAAGTTTTCTATTTCATTAAATCATCCCTTTTTTCCCTAATAGGATTAATCTCAATTTTGATGCGTAGGATATTGTTGGTTGTAATCCTAGTTACTTTGCCTTCTGGATTATCATATTCCCAGGCTTCTACTCCTTTTATGTGGAAGCTGCTAAGTCTTGTGTGATCCTGACTGTGGCTCCATGATATTGGAATTCTTTCTTTTTGGTTACTTGTACATTTCATCAATTTGGGAGCACTGGAATTTGGATACAATATTTCTGGGAGTATTTATTGGGGAATCTCTTTTAGGAAGTGATTGATGAATTCTTTCTATTTCAATTTTACCCTCTGATTCTATCTAGGCAGTTTTCCTTTATAACTTCTTGAAACATGATGTCCAGGCACTTCTTTTTTTATCATGGCTTTCAGGTAGTTCTATAATGTTTAAATAATCTTTCCTCAGCCAATTTTGTAGTTCAACTGTTTTTCCTATGAGATCCTATTTATTCATTCTTTTGACTTTGTTTTACTGTTTCTTTGTATCTGAGTCATTAGCTTCCATTTCACCAATTCCAGTTTTTGAAAAGTAATTTTTTTTCAGTAAGGTTTTGTATCTCTTTTGCTAAACTATTCAGTCTCTTTTTGATAATTTTCTTGTATTGTTCTTCATTTCATTTGCCAATTTTTACTCTGCCACTCTTATTTGATTTTTGAAATCATTTTTTGCTCTTTTAAAAATTGCTTTCATGCTTCTAGAAATTCTTGCTGGGCTTGTGTTTAATGTGCATATTTCTCTAAGGCATTGCTTCTAGATATTTTCAAGTCAGTGCCTTCTTTTGAGTTTTTTTCTTGAGCTTCCCTGCCACAAAAGAAGTTGTCGTGGTCATGTTCTTTTTGTTGTTTGCTTATTTTTCCAGCCTACTTCTTGACCTTGGACCTGATATTAGAGTTGGACTCTGCTGACCTCTGTGGGAGAAGGGATGGCATGAGCTTCTGAAGCTCTATCTGGGTTTTGTAGGTTTTTCAGTGCTTTCAAGGTGGTATGATGCGGAGAGGTCTAGTTGCTTCTCTCCTGGTCAGCATTCTGATCCTCACCCAGGTATGGTGACAGTGGCCATTCCTCTCTGTCCTTGAATTACAACCTGAAAGCTGCCAGAGTGAGCTGGATTCTGCACCTAGCTCTAATTACAGGGGTGCCCTGGATTCTCTTTCTGGTCAGGTGCTCATTCCCTTTACCATGCCTGGGTTATGATAGTTCCCAGTGTTGTCACCACCTCTAAGGCCCATAGCCAGTGCTGCTTCATTCTCCCAACCAGTTCCCACCACAGTGTCATAGACCTTTGATTCTCTTTTTTTAAGCTCTCCTAGGCTAGAACGATGACTCACTATGATTTTGTTGGCTTTTCTACTCAGAATTTGATTTTGTGTTTTCTATGGTTGTTTTGTAGAAAGAGGTTTGAGGGGGAAATTTGGCAGTTGTGACCCTTCATTCCATCATCTTGACTCTACCCTTCATTCCATTGTTATTACTGTGAAACATGAGAGCTGTATGGAAGTGACCTACTGAAAAATGGAATGTCGTGGAAATGATTTTGATTCCAATTCAAAATCTCTCCCCTGTGCCCAATGTAGATCTATTGGATAGAAAGAGCAGCAATTATTATGTTCAAATGCCAAATATTTGCTGTACATATACCCTGCAGGAATACCACTAGGTATTATAGCATTTGTGCTTCACAGCTAGAAATAGAACTGGATAACCAAGAGACAATGGATGTTAGATATGAAGGAGGGGTGGCCCAATGGCACAGATTGGCCCATGGTGTATATAAACCCAGTTAGGCTCTTCTACTAACATGCTTCTATTGACTAAAAGATAAGGTATGACATTTACTGCCAAGGAACGGTGCCATTTCTCAACACAACTTCCCATCAGAGTTTCCCTATCCGGCTCTGGCTCTGAGTACAATACCCTGATTATACTCAACAAGACAGGCAAAAACAATGTGATCACCACTTCTTACAAATTTTCATAGTCTAACTTGCTCTGATCCCATTATGGGAATCAGGAAAACCTGAAAACAAGTGCAGAAAATAAAATGCTGGTGACATTCCCTCCACTAGGGAGACAAAGATTTCCTTTGTCTGTTATTCAGTACCACCACCCACCATTGACCTGTTACCCATTCCCAGACTATATTCTTAGAATATATTTTGTTTTTTATGCGTCTAGAAGAACAAAATGTAAAAGGGAATGCCTTGTACCAGAAATGAAAGCATTATCAACTTATAATTATTTGTGATTAAGCTGAGTTATTTAAACTGCTCAGTGTATGTGCTTATCGCACAATCTGCACTGTAACAAAGTCCATTGGAAGAGCCTGGGATGTATCTGTGGAGCTGAGTGAAGATTCTCAACTTTGTTAGTCAAAGATAGTTACTGCAGTGAAGGAGAAGACATGACTAGCAAACAAGTGAGACAAAACTTCCTACCTTCGAAATTCATCCCTGTCTCCAGCCTGCATGAGGGCCACGACAGTACTGGTGACTGAAGTCCCAATATTTGCTCCCATGACAATGGGAATTGCTGCCTTTACTGTCAACACTGTCAAAGGAAAAAGGTAAATGAGGAAGAAAAAGTGTGGAAATTCACAGGAAAAACACTTAAGTTAAGGAATCAGCTTTGAAAAAAATGTTGGGAAGGCTATGAAGTCCAAACATGACCAAGAAGAGGAATCCTTTCTCCAAGGTTCCCAACCAGTCACTCATCCAGCCTTTGCTGGAAGATGTCCTGTGTAGTGAAGAACAACTCAGTACAGCTGAGACCAAGTGCCTAGACCTTTAACTAGGGCAGGGCAAGTGGGGCTTTTCCCATAACAAGAACACTAGACCACTGGCAGCAATGTTGGGGGGTGTGGTGACTGTTCCAATGGTGGCTGCAGCAACAGCTCTGTCTCAAGATTGCCTCTTCTCAGTTCAGCGATTTAGAATCCTCTGTCTTCCGGGGGAGTTTTCCATCCTCTTCTCTCCTGCATAGCCATACTTCAGGGAAGCTTACCTCCTGACCTCACAATCTGTCCCTTGTACTAGAGGGAAAATTGACATATCCATCCTATAAGGAGGGTTGGGGGAAGACCCAGTCCTGGGATCTGGAGAGATCTAGTCTAATTCAAGCCCATTTGAAAAACAACGAAGTGATTCAAAAGGATCTGGTCTGAATTATCTCTGGTAGAAAAAGAAATCCACTCAAACTGTAATTACATCCAAGACACTGACTCAGACTCAGCTGGGTTAAATATCAGAAAGGAAAAAAAGAAGAGAAAGGGGTTCTTCACAGTGAGCTCTCTTCTCCCAAAGCAGATCGTTATGATTAGGGCTCTTCATTTCCAGCAATGCACATTTAAGATTTCCTCCAAGAATATGCAACCCAATTCTCCCAGCTAGAGCCTAATTTTCTAACTCTACAAGAACTAGTACAGAACACAGGACAAATAGATGGACATCAGAGACAGAGACTCAGCCTGATGGAAGACTCATCAGGAAGATAAAGGTTAGGCACATAGTGAATAATTATGTGATTCTATAATTTGGAATGAAATTCTTTGAATGGATCCAGGCTTGCCTAACCAACAAAGTTCAGGAGGAGTTGGGGGAGGCGGGGTGGGGCTGACTCACATGAAGAGGACACCATGCTGACGATGATGGATGTAGATGTGCTGGAACTTTGCACAATGGCAGTCACCAGCACACCAATCAACAAGCCGGACACAGGATTGTAAATTACGGAACCCTCATAGAAAAGCTTACCAGCCGCTTTCCTTACAAAGGTAAGGAAATAAAAAATAATAATAATAGTAATCATAACAGATCTATATGGTAGTTGGTTGGTACTGCTGGGCCACAGGCCAAAGACTAGGGGCCACTGTGTGGGAGGGGGGGAGTGAGTAGGAATCATTGGCTGCCAAGGCAGGCAATGTGGCAAAAGGCAGAGGACTGAATTTGGTTTTAGGAAGCTATAAGTCAGATCCTGCCTCTGTCTCACTGTGTGAGCAAAGGCAAGGCACTTCACTTTTCTGCACAAATTTTAAAGGGCCATAGATATGCCAGTTATTATCATCTGCTGCCCTGAACCTCACCACATTCTCTCACTCCAGTTTAGTGTCTCTGCTATATCAGAACAAATCCACTTGCTATTGCTCACACATACTTACATGTTCCTATGCCTGGAAAGAATTACTCTGGCCTAGAAGGGTGCCTCCCTCTCCTCCATCCCCTCCCCCAGTATTCCATCCATTGGAGGGGAGGAACACTCTCTTCCTTCAAAACTTTTCTACCCAACTCTGTCCTTTACCAAGTATCTCCATTGCACTGAGGGGTTCTGAGGCAGCTGGTTGATGCTTGGACCTTGAATCAAGAAGACTTGAGCTCAAATCTAGCCTCAGACACTTACTAGCTGTATAACCCTGGACAAGCGAATTAATCATTCTCAACCTCAGTTTCCTTGACTGTGAAATAAACCTACCTCACAAAGCTGTTGTCAAGATGATATTTGAAGACAATATTTGCTGAGTGCTTGGCATATGGTAAATGATATACAGATAGATATCTATCTATATCTATCTATACCTATCTATATCTATCCCTCTCTCTCTCTCCATATATATATCTGTATATACACACACACACACATATATGCTTATTGCTTTTCACCATTTGGTTTATTTAAGGTATATCACGTTGTAGGGTGCTTACAAGACCTGAAATCTTTTCCATGTGCATGTTGTGTCATCCCAACAAAATTACAAATTTCCTAAGGTTAGAGATAGGTCTTCCATTTCCTTTGTATGCCCCCATCCCTGTCTCAGAGCTTAGTAATAATAATGGCTACCATTATTAGTCTGCAGAGTAGAAGCATGAAGGCCAGGCTTTACACAAAGGAAATGGAGTAGAGCATGAAATCAATTGTCTAAATGGTTGGAGTCAAAAACAAATGATCATTTACCCATGAAAGTCAAGAATGTGGAAAACACGCTAGGCCAGGCTGGAGATTAAGCGCACACACACACACACCCCAGGGTCTCTGCCTTCAAGCACAGATTGTTTTGAGATAGAACTGGAAGAATTTGTGGAGAGAATAAAGAGTGGGATGAGAAAGGCTTGGACAAAATCACTCCAATTCTTCTCTTTACGTTCCCAGTGTAAATCTGACCAGTTCACTTTCATAGATCTTAAATAGATTCTAGTCTCTGAAACTAGAGGTTATGTTTTAGACATCAACAGGGGATCAAAATTCAGACCCTCACCCCAAAACCTTAATTTGATGGCTTAAATTCTCTATTACAAAGATTTCTCACAAAGGTTTTTGAAACCTAATCCCTAAACTGTCTCACTTTCAGAGACTGGAGTGTAAGTGAGGTGGACTGGGTGCTGCAGTAGGGAAAGGATGGACGGGAGGAAAGTACCACTCAAGAAGCATACTCATTTCCGGAGTGGATGAAAAGGTGAGACCCCCTCAGTCAGAGAATAGTTTAAAAGAAGGGAGATTACTTGGGTTGACATTGCTTGTTGATTGCTATAGGCTGAACCAAAATCAATTAGAAAGCAAAAAAAAAAGCCACCCACAAACCTTTGACCCTTTCTGATGTTGCTTTTCATACCTCCAACCAGCTGGAAAGCACTGCTGAGAATGTCCAAGGAGCAGACAAAGAAGTAGAGAAATCCCAGGAGGAGAATCACTTTCCCAAACCCTCAAAAGACAGCAATTATTTTTCCTTTGGTGTCTCTCTCTGCAAAAACAAAGGAGAAGTGAGCAAGCATTTATTAAACACCTACTATGTGCCAGGCACTGTGCTAAGCACTCTTTCAAATATTGTCTTATTTATGACATGCTTGTGTGTATAGCATGCCCATGTATGTGCACACACACACACACACACACACACACACACACACACACACACACACACACACACAGGGGAACTAGAATTTTGTGCAAGAATCTCCCATCTCTGTTCAGCAAGGAGAAGGCTGGCTGGGGTTGTCAGCTTTAGTGATGTATTAGGAAGTGCATTTTAATAAATATGCCGTTTACTTGAAATGGTCCCCAAATTCCCCCCCACTTTAAAAAAACAAGCCACATTTGTGAAGAAGCTTTTGGGCACCAATAACATTGTGGTCTGAAGGGGAGGCAGGGGGAGCCATAAGCAAATCAAGGCTGCATTCTTAGCTGAACCATTGGTTTGCTAAGTGGTATAGATGGTAGTAGCAGCCAGGTCCAGGCAGACGGCTCCTGAGATAATGACCAGCAAAGCACTTAGTGCTCTTCAGAAGGACCTGAGGGATGTAAGAGATGATCTCTCAGAAGTGAAGCCTTCTCAAAAGGTCATTAGTTCTTGTTAACAGTTCTTGTATTGTTGTTTTCAAAACCCTAAACCATGCCCCCCCCCCTGCGTTTTTAAGTACTTAACAGAAAGAATAGCCCTACCCCCAACCTGAATTGCTTGCCCTTGGAAAACTTCCTGCCTTTTCTTGTCTCTGGCCAAACTTGCATCTCCATGAGTAGACTGTAACCCTTGAAAGCCCAGCCAATGAGATAAGGGGAAGGGGGTTAGGGAGGAGGAGCTTGCAGTAGGGTATAAATAAGCCTTGATTTCTGTACCCAACTCGTACTCTCCTGGCCGGCAATGGCCACTGGGGGTGGTACCCTTTCTTATAAGAAAGCAATAAACTCCTTTCTACTTTCAAGGTATCTATGTCTTTGTTTTTATTTTTGAGTAAGTGGTCTGTCCCACACAGGGATTACTTTTAAGTATTGGGCTTCTCAGTAAAAATGACAGTTTTGCTTTTGTAAAGAATCTAATGATGTTGGCCAGCCCTAGGAGGATTAGTCCTGCCCTACCCTATTCCCTCCCCAGAGCCCAGCAATGGTTCCCATCTCACAGCACCTGCCCTTTCTTCTCACTGGCCACTAGGCTCTAAGCTGAATCCCCCCCTTTCACCCAGTATTCCTTCTCCCAGGTTCCACTTTTCTGCCTTCCTTCATTGTCCATAAGCAACACTTGCCTTCCAAAGGCCCAGCTAGTCCCCTTCAGCAGCCAGGTGAGATAATCATTTATTCATTTATCAATGACCAAATTTTTTTTTTATGAGCCAGCTATGTGGAAAGCACTGTGCCGGGAGCTGGGGCTAGATAAAGACAATTGAGATATGTTCCTTGCCCTTACAGATTGTAATCTAACAGGGATGTAAAATATGCCCAAATATGAAATACCATACAAGAACAGGTAGAAAATGCTACGGATGGAAAGAAGGAAGGAGTAATGGTAACAGCTAACATGTAGAGAGTGCTTTAATCCTCATTTGTCCTCACATTAACCTTGTAAAGTAAGTATTATTATCAATTTTATAGCTAAGAAACTGAGGTAGAGCGCTTAGGTGACCTGCCTAGGGTAACACAGCTAGGAAGTGTCTGAGGCCTACTCAACTCAGGTGTTTATGACTCTAGATGCAGCCTTCTCTCCACTGCACCATCTAGTGTACACCTCGTGGTATACATAAAAGGGAGAAGGAGTGAAAGTGTTTATGCACCT